AATTTTAATACTTGCTGTAGCCAAGAACTGGCCGGTCTGCTGGAGAAGGAATTCTGCAGTGCCTTCTGGAGAATTCCGTTCCTCTATTGGTCCATGATTTGAATGGCTTTGACTTGGTTCACCTTGGGAAGTGTGGATAATGCAATTCAGATTATTTCAGTCCAATTTGCTAGATGCATTAGGAAGTTCCAGAGTAACTTGATGTAGTATGTGTCTGCCAGCATTTATAACCTAGGGAGATATTCCCAGCACACCCACATGACTATAATCCAAAGTAAAGAAGGTAAGAAGGTAGATTATCTAGAGAGCTACAAGAATATGAGAGGCATAAGTATTTAAATAGAGTGGGGTGAGAAAGGCAGAGAGAGATGGAGGGAGGGAGGGAGGAAGGGAGGGAGGAAGGGGGGGTGATGAAAGTTAGGAAGAGATTCCTGGAAGAAGGGAGTGTTTCTGATGGATTTCTACACATTTGAAGGTTAAGGGGATAACCTGGGGTGACCCAGGGAAGAGGATCCTGACAGATAAAGGGGAAAATAAGCTAAGACAGAAGCAAAGCAATGTGGACTGTGTTTGAGCGCTGTCAGGCCTTTGGAGTTCAAAGCAGCATTGCTTACAGGCAGCAGCAGTGATTACTAGGTAGCAAGGTGCTCAGCTGAGTGAAAAGTGAAAGCCATCACATAATCCAGATTGTGTGTTTACAGAAAGTAATGAAGGGCTTGGGCTTAATGGAGAGGCTGAACTTGAAATGGGCTTCTGAGGTTGGGCATGATTTTGTGGCACAGAGAGGAGGAGAGACAGATAAGGTTTCTAAAAGGTTGTTTGAAGACCCTGAGTATTTAACTCCAATCTTGGAGTTAAAAAAGATAGCAAATGATGAAAGGTTGGAGTGGGCAGAGTCAAGCTATTATATAGCTTCCAGGGTAAGGGATGGAATTCAGGGAGGCTCTGATGCTGGGTCCCCAGCCCAGTGAGAGATGGCCAGGCCAGGTTGGGTGGCTGCAGTGGGCACAGGATGCAGCCACAGAGTATCAACAGGGGATGAGTATAGCTACTATTGTCTGAGTATCTACTGCTTGCAGGTGCCACACTGCCTGTAACCCTCCAGTGCTACATGGTCTATTACCTGCTCTACCCAATATACATGTTCTTTACCTTTTCTACTCTCGAGTCATACTGTAAGGTAGAAGCAATGACTAATTCTGAAAACTCAAATTCCAGGGTTATGGAACTCAAATTCTCAGTCTATCTAAGATTCCAGGGGCTGCACAGCCAGGCGATGGGGAAGCCTAGCTTATGGCTGCCAGCTAACTGATGTACTGACCAGGCAGAACCCTGATTGAGAAGAGAAAGGTCTCAGGTTGTTGTGTTTGCAATGGGAGAGACTAAAAACTAAACTCAGCTGTCCCCATTTCTTGCCTGTCTAACTAAGATTAGACTCAGTAGCAGTACATACAATGCCTTTTAGCCTCCTTTGGTTCATCTTCCTTTGAGCACATCCATCTTCCCTGGCCAGCTCCCCACCCCATTGGATGCTCCAGTCATTCTGAATTGAGCATCTAGGTGACTTCTCACTATTGTGATTCCACCTCCTCACCATTCTGTACCAGGATTCATCTGCATAGTTTCTCCTCAGCCTACTGCAATTCAGAGGTCTTCTCCCTCAGGAGCCTTCCACAGCTTCAAGGGACTGGAGACTTTAGCTAAAACCTTTATACTGCTATCTTCTGGTCCCTCTATAGTCTTCAATTATCCATGAAGATTCCCCTGCTTCCAAACAGGGAACTCTAATCCTAATCAACACTTACACACATGTGCATGCACACAAGCAGTGCATGCACATACATGAGTCATACATCACTGTGCCCCTGGGCTTTAAAGGCTTCTCAGAATTTATTAGTCAATATAAAGCAAAACTGACCCCCTGGTCCCTCCTGTGAGTTCCTGGCAAGTCCAGGGATTCACTTCTCCCATCATCAGCTGCCAGAGCTCCCTCCTGTACTTCTCAGGTCTATTCCTGCACCAAGACTGCTTGATGAGGCCTGATGGGAGGCAGATACCCCAGCACAGAAAGCAAATATGAGTCTTCTTTTTACCAGATGCCTTGACACTGTAGCCAGAGCTTGTTCTCGCATATGATTTATTAACTAATTTAGCATGTAAGAAAAACATCTGCATTTTGCTTTTATCATCTTGCCAGCAGACAGGCTGAAGACAAGATGTGTACTGTAGACTTGTTTAATGGGGCCTTAAACAGTCCCTCTCACTTGTCTAAGCTCACACAAGGCTCTGGTTTCAGGAGTTGTCTGATTTAACTGACCTAACACAACAAACACGAATGTAAAGCTCTCATCAACACATAAATACTGCAGGGACAGTCAGAATGGCTGCAAAATCCATACTGGCCAAGTCTCACTGACAGCATTCCAACTGCCAGACTGTCTTGGAATTAGGGAAATAAAACGTTGCTTCAGTTATTTAAACTATTGACTGGGCCTGATCACCTTTTATTATACACAATTTTAAGATTTTCATTTAAAGAAATGTGAATCGAGCAAAACACCACAGCTGGATGATATAGTGAGTAGAATTGTGTCCCCTCCAAAAAGATATATTCAAATCCTAAACCCCCATACCTATGGATATGACCTTTTTTGGACATAGGATCTTTGCAGATATAATCAAATTATTATGAGGCCATAATGCATTAGGGTGTACCCTAATCCAATAATTAGTGTCTTTATGAAAAGTGGAAATTTGGACATTAAGACACAGACACAGGGGAGAAGGCCATGAGAAGATGATACAGAGATTGGCACGGTGTGTCCATAAGCCAGGGAATACCAAAGATTTCCAGAAGCCACTAGAAGTTGAGAGAAGAGTGTGGAACATGTGTTTCTTTCTGAACCTACAAAGACAGGTAGATTTAGATTCTGGCTGATTTAGATTCTGATTTAGATTCTAACTTCCAGAACTAGGAGAATACATTTCCATGATCTTAAGCTACTTGTTCAAGGAAATTTCAATAGCAGCCCTAGGAAACTAAGATGGCTGAGACCCCGGTAACCATCTTACTCGGTATGATGGTATTCCAGACCACTTGTGGCTGATAGTGTGGCTCAGGCAAGAGATGCCTGCCCGGGAGAGGTGGGCTCAGCATGGCACCACACTAGACAAGTTCCCAAATGTCCCTAAGTTTATATGTTTTTTCCTACATGAAGTGAAGGGACCTGACTGAAAAGAAAGTCCATCAGATGACATTTTTTGTTATATGTGACTAGGCTGAGCTCTAAAAGTGGCATTTAATATTTTTGACAATGAATTTTGCAGCCAACCATTTTTATCTAGTGGCATCTTCAGAACAGTGAGGCACAGTGGCCCATACAGCATGGGCACCGGCACTGAGACCCCCAAGGCAGGCGTGGGTATTAAAGGTTCCCAGAGCACTTGATGTGGCTAGAATTTGGTCCTCACAGCAACTTGAGAGGTCTGTGCCTGAACTCAGATAATTCTTTATTGATCCAGAGACTAAAGAGCACTCTGCAGAACACATTCAAACTGGGACTCTATCTGCCAACTGGCTTGAAATGCTGGTTAAAGACCCAGTTCCCAGTGAGGGAACTCTTTGCATATCATTTTCCTTCTCTTAGCATACTAGAATCTGCCATGAAGAACGGGCAGTAGTATTTTGTCAAATCCTTTGCTATGAAGATGCATTAAGTTCACACTTGCCCCAGGGTTTCCAAACAACACTCCCAGCAGTGCTCTGCATAATGGAGACCTAGGTTGCCCATGGTCCATGAGGATAACAGGCATTCTATTACATCACCCTTTACCTCTGTCCGCCTGACCCCCTTGTAAGATCTGTGTAGTGGAGACCAGCAGATGACATGGTGGTCAAGGGCAATGGACTCCCACATGGCTGACCGTGGTTCAAGTCCCAGACCTGGCGGCTTGCTTTCTCACTGCCTTCCTTCTCTCTCATTAAATTAAAACAAATAAAGAAAAGATAAATAAAGGAAAAAAAGCTATAAAAAAAGATCTTTGTAGTGTTTGCTAAGCTGCATTTTATTGAATATGGTCATATCCCCCAGAGGACTTAACTCTGAGTTACACTCATGAATTCACCTCCTGGGGGCCAAAATATGTTCCTAGGAAGAAAGATCTCATTCCTCTCTCCAAAGAAATAAAACCGAGGTTTCTTGAGGCCTCCAGATTTTAAGATTTGGATTGGCAGGCCATAAGTATGTGCTCTGAGTGTGCCCCACTCTTGGCCTCATCTCTCCATGTTATTCTTGCAGGTTTAATAGTCTGTTTATAAGCTCCATGAAGAAAGGACTGAGGTTAGTCTTCTCACTGTGGCATCTCCAGTTCCCAGCATGGAGTCTGGCCCAGAGAAGGTTCCTGATAACTCCTTCTCCTATAAGTGAATGAGTATTCTCTCTCACAGGGTCAGCCTGACACTGGCCTCCCAGTGCTTGGAAATCTGGCCATCCATTCTCTGAGCTCACAGCAGGAAAGGCATTTCAAGATGACGAATGTTGATATAGACAAGCTGGAGTCAACCTCTCACCCTGAGATCTGTTTTGCAATCTATAAAGGGCAAAGGGGATCTCTTGCAAATATGTGTTAGGAGCCAAGAATTTGAACTTGCTACCCTGGCTGCTACAGTGATGTGGCTTCTTTCCCAGCTCTAATGGTAAATTTGTGTCCCAAGTTATTTCTGCTGAGTTTGATACCCATATATAACCTCTCAAAATGGGTTGTTTCTGGAGCAGGCTTTATAGTTCTGGGCTTTGGCTACTTGGAACCAACACAGGTTCTGTGTATGTCAGTCACATCTTTGAAACTCTCTTTC